TCTAACTAAATCTAATTCTGAAATTGCTAGCAATCAAGATCTTTCAAACAACTAATATTTACCCAAATCTAATCGGTTTACTATAGAGAACTTTTTTTGGCTTATGTATATAAAAATTGAATCTCATTTTCGGAATATAAAAACTTATAAAGATCCTAGACTATCTACTATTTGCAATAAAAAAAAATATTATAAAAATAAATATTATTAGGTAAAGTTATTGAAAAGTTTAATTGTGTTACTTATGGAAAAAGTATGCACTTGAATATGCCTAATAAATAAAAAACTACAATTATATGAATAGTTTTCTAATTTTTTCTAGTTTTACATATTTAACAGAAAAATACAAAACAGATTTCACCAAAACGTTTACAAATGCACATTTTAATCACTGCGGATTCAATTTATGATGTTCACCATATATTTTATGAATTTTGACCCATTTGCATTTAATATTTTCCTTCCCTACATCTTCTAGTAAACTCTCACCTAATGGAGATTTGTGATTGATTTGGATGGAATCAATATCATAGACTATGTCAATGTTCCTCAAATATCTGAAATAAGAAAATGTATACATTAATGCATAAGAGTACAGACCACTTATTGTGATTCTTCATCAAAGGCATAAGGCAAAAATTCATGAGATACATTGCAATATAAAACTACAATATAATCTTCATATTGTAATAAAAAAATTCATACAAGTATTTTTAGTACTATTGATAATAATTGAAACTAATTATAAAATATAATGTTCAGTTTTTAAAAAATTGTAGAATCAGGAAAATTACATCATTTTTCCTTTCATCATATTATTGAAATACTATAACAAAACTCAAATATAGTACAAGTTATAAATATTTTTGAACGTCAAACAATTCATTTTTATGTTATTCATATGTAATAAATATTTAAATGTTTTAAATGCACTATATCTTTTTAGCATAAAACAAGAATAAAATAATTTCGTTGTATAAATAGGTAAAATCTTTTCAATAAATACTAACTTTTCAATCCCATTCCATGCAATCATAATTCCATTATCAGTACATAATTTGGGGTTTGGTCTGAATATTTCGTAATCCATTTCTTTGCAAACAAGCGATAGAGCATCATATATGAAATTATTACATGCCACACCACCAGAAACAACCTAAGAATATAGTATATTGTAAATAATACTATTAACTTATCAGTTGATATAATTAAAACATCATACTTTATTTAAATGAATCCACTCACCAATTTAGCATTATCTTGTGGAATTAGTTGTTTTAACCTACAAAAGTCCATAGCTCGTTGCGTTCGATGGCAAAGATGTCTTGCAACAGCCATTTGGAATGAAGCACAAAAGTTTTTATAATCCGGAATAATACCGTCCGGACTAACACCTGTAAGAAATTGTAGACAATCCAAAATCCATTTATAATGCCTTAAATTTTAAAAATCTATAACTTAAACTATAGAAGCATAAAAATAATTAAAACTCTAATTTAATATTAAATTAGAAACATTTACAGGAAATTAAAGTTGACAACCAAACTCATAAGGTGTAATCTAATTATCATATTTTAACCAAAACTAGCATAATAGCTCTAGCAAAGTAGGTACAAATCAGAAATTGTAGAACAAAATACAATTCTTCAATAATTATTATTATTGCCAATTATAATAATGATTTATTGTATCATCAGAAACTAATAATTAACATTAGGATTTTAATTAATGTGCGCACTAGATTTTTAAATTTGAATTTTACTAAAATATATTCATTAAATGATTATACTAAATTAAGTATTTAATTTACTTATCATAAAATAAATTACCCAAATTCCTCTCCTCTGAAACAATATGTCTTCGAGCGGTGTTTTTAAGACCGGCAAATGAAAAGCAACAGTCGTTATGATGTTTTAACAAAAATGGAAAATCATATTTGAATGGATTATTTGCACCTCTTGCTGCTAACTCTATTGCTTTACCACCAGACAAATTTTCAAACCCTTTCAAGTTATTTAACTTCAGTCGCCTAGCTGTCTGTATTCAGATGAATTAGTAAATTTATTTATATACAATATGATATATGTAAGAAGGATGAATTTATAATGAGAATACCTTGTCAAATGCCTCACCAGGTGCATCATCATATGAATCACCGAGCAATAAAATTTTATCAATATCTTGGAATACAGCTAATAAACTATGGCCACCACTGCAATTAAAAATACATATTATACTTATAACAGGGAAAATTAAAGTTACTGAAATGATAATCGTAATTAATCGTTATTTAATAAAGTTTCGTTTGCAGTTTCTTACAATATTAATGCTTTCCAAATTGAAATAATAAATTTTAATAAACCGAATATATATTTTTAATATGAAAATGTAAACTTATGAAATCCTTAAATTTCATAAAAAGCCAAGTGTTTAGGTTCCTTTTCTTCATCTTTAACAATAAACATTGCTTCCTAATTTCTAATCCTAATTCATTACACTATCAGAATAACTAGAGTAATACATATTTATTAATCTTATTGCTAGAACAAATTAAAATAATTATAATAGTAAAATTAATTATACAGCTAATCATATTTTTTATATATTACCTAATGAGAAGAACCAGGAAAGGAAATTGAATTTTTTCTCTATTACCCAGTCGTACTGTTAATGCATGAGCTTCCATATGATGAACGGGAATGATAGGTTTTCGGTGTTGTCGAGCTAAATGTTTTGCAAAGCGTACACCAACCATCAAACTTAGGGGTAATCCTGAATAAATAAGTTTATAATTGTAATTTAAAAATATGTATATAACAAGTGTAATTCCTTCAGTAATCTTATCTGAATTTAATTTTATAAGCCAAAATAATGCACTTAATACAGAATGATATGTTAATACATTTCTGTACACCTTTATATTTGAATATGATACAATCAACTTTCAACTAATATATTTACAATTACAGATTGTCAAAAAATAAAAGTACTTATGAAAAATAAAACTATTTTTGCTGGATAAATAAAACTATAATGAATTATTTCTTGACATAATGTTCTTGCATGCTTTTGACAAAAGTCAATTTATTATTAATTATTAAATTATGTATAGTCTACCTGGCCTATTGGTAACAGCAATGGCATTAATATCTTGCAATGAAATGTTGGCTTGATGTAATGTCTTTTCAAAGACATTTTCAATATGTAATCGATGCTCATTTTGGGCCAACGGAGGTATGATTCCACCATTTCTATACAATTCAAATCAATCAAAAATATGTTTATTTGATCATTTCATTGATGAAGACTATAGGGACATACTTTATATGGAGGGCTTCTTGGCAGTGGACTGCTTCACCTAGAATATTTCCATCGGTGTCCACAATTGCACATCCAGTGTCGTCACATGATGTTTCAATTCCTAGTATAAGTGCTTTATTACTGGAATTAGCTGCTTGTTGATAATTTGATTTCAAAACATTAGTTTGTCGTACCAGTTTCGTTAGGTAGCTATATTTTGTAAACATTCTGTTGATGAAACGCAATCTATTTTTTGTTATTTATGCAGAATTGGGCTTTTACACATTTCATTTATGTGCCTTAAGTGATATGGTTAAATGATTGAATTTTGAAAAAACAAGGAATTTATACTATTATGAGTAAAGTGAAGAAATTTACTAGTAATTTATTTGATTTGTCCGAAACATATTTATTTGAATTACTTTCTAACCTAAAAAAAGCTCATTATTTTGTTTCTGTCAACTAATCATTGCTTGGTTTGACAGAAGAAAATCCAGTGAAATTGTCAACTCAATTTAAAAGGTCCTTTTTTATATTCATTAAAAGTAACACAAAACTAGTGGTGTATGGCAACGTGCCTTAAGGCAAAATGCTGGAACTTCCCATACCAAAAATTAAATTAAAAAAAAAATATATATTGGAAGTGAATTTTTTCTATTTTGAAATATTTTGGAAATTTTGAACTTCCAATCGACGATATCGAAGCGCGTAAGCGCCGCATCGATGTTGACGGACAAACGACGTTACGCGGAACCTATAGAAACGTAAAGAAAATTGATACACATTAAAATCTCCATAAAATATCAGATCATTTGTGCCATCGCTAAATGGCATTTATTTTTACTTTTTTTTACTAGATCTCCGAAACTGCTAGACCTGCCATCCCAAAAATTTAATTAGTTCTTTATCTTGTCAATTCAAATAAAATGTTTTTAAATTATAAAAATCGGGCGCTCCGTTCTGTTAAAAATTGAGTTACCGTTTTTGGCACTTTTTGCCCCGTATTTTCGAAACGGCTAAACTTGCCTTAACCAAAAACTAAACACAACTTCTCCTAATCATTACAAATTGAACGTTTTTTGGGTCATTCAAATCGGATACTCCGTTCTCTCAAAACCACGATTTCTATTTTCTGAACTTTTTGCCCCGTATCTCTGTAACGGCTGGACCTGCCTTTTCCAAAAACAAAAGCACATCTCTCTATCAATAGGAATCGAATGTTTTTTGAACCATTCAAATCGGTTGATCCGTGCGCCCGAAAACGTGAACGAAAAAATGCGAACACACAAAACACACACACATCCATTTTTTCTGAGGTGTGCCAAAATGTTCAGAAACCTTCAAAACGTGAAGATTTGCAAAAATTTTCATTTTAGATTTTTGACCCATTACTATAACTACCCTATGGGAAAATAAAAATTCTCAATTGTGCTTCAGATCAATTTTTTGTTCTGTTCAAAATCAAGCTGTTTTTACTAACACTTCGAAAAAACCTCATGTAAAACATTCTCTGTCAATACAATAGTCATGCATAGGCTTTCCTGAGAAATTAATAAATATAAAAAAAAATTATATTTATATGAGAAAAAAAATTTCTCATATGGATTAAAGAATCAAGTAATTTGAGTAACAATTATATTTCTCATTATATGATAAATATATTAAAAATAAATCATTCTTTATAATTTGGTATTACATAATTAAGTCAAACTGGGGCCTCGCTCAATCAGACTTTGCTTTAGTGTTCGTACGGTCTCAATTTCATCTACTTCTTCAGTTTGTGATTGATCATGCAAATCCAAAACTTCTCTTATTGTTTCTTTCACTCTATTAATATCACTTGAATTAGTTTTAGCTGATATTGGTAAAATATGGTCAAACTGTATCACTTGATTCGGTAAAGCTTCATTTGGACACATGTGGAGAGAATCTGCAAATAACAAAAATATATACTAACATTCAGGTCTAATACTTTCATACTCTATATATCACTAAAAATAATTAAGCAAACCTTGCAAGTTAAACAAATTGCCTTTAATTTTTTCAAATTCTTCTTTCGCTATTTCCTTATCCATTTTATTTACTAAGAGTATGGCAGGTTTTTCTAATAAATCTGGTTTATACAATTCTAATTCCTTATTGAGTATGAAGACTGTTTCAATACAACTTCGTTGTGGATGCTTTCTTGATAGTTGAAATCCTTCAATATCACAGATTAACAATAAAAGTTTTGTTCTTTCGACATGCTTCAAAAACTTATGTCCCATTCCTGTAAATTAGACTAAAGTTAATATCAGTACATTATTATAACACGAAATCTTAATAATCACAAAAGGCAACAGAAATGTTTATTTATTGAAAAACTTCCAATTATGTGAAATAGTAATCATACCCATATTTGCATGTGCACCCTCTATCAGCCCAGGCAAATCGGCCACAGTTATTTGCCTTAAATCTCTATATTCCATTACTCCTATATTTGGCCGAATTGTAGTAACTGTTCAAAATCAAATTTAAATAATTATTACTTTATAAAGTGAAGCTTTAAAATATTATATTTTAAAAATATATTTGAAACTATCTACTTTACATGGATAACTAGCAACTTTTGGCTTAGCTCTAGATATTGCTCTCAAAAGAGTGCTTTTTCCTGCATTTGGTAAGCCAACAAGTCCAACATCAGCAATTAATTTGAGATCCAGTGTTACTGAATATGCTTGTCCTTTCATTCCCAAATAATTGTTGTAGGCATTACCGCCAAAACCACCTCTTGCTACTACACATGTTTTACCTTCTTCATCCATGTCCTCTAACAAAATAAATATTCTTAATATTCATACTAATTATCTATGTTTTATTTTTAACATTGTCAAATACCTATAAGTTTTCCATCTTCTCGAATAACTTTGATTCCAACCGGTACATCTAATTTTAAATCATTCCCTTTTTCACCAAGAATTTTCAATCGTGTACTGTTCTGTCCGTGTCCGGCAGCTAGCCTTTTCTGTGGCCATCTAGAATGGTTAAAAGAAATAACAACTGTAAGGTTGGAAATTCGAATAGAGTCCTAGGGCAAACATATAATATATATTCATAATAATACTTTGAATCATATAAGATTAAGGTCAAAATCACTTGGACCATGTAATAATTTAGTATTATTAGTATAGTATTGTAGACACATACATAAATGGAGGTGATTTGTAATTTGGGCAAAAATAAATAGTCAACAAAAGCTAATTTTGTTAATTAAATAAATTCACACAAAATGAAGTTAAACCAGGGATCTTTAAATAGCACATGCCATAATAATGAAAATATACATCGTATAATAAAATGTTTATGGTTGAAATCCCACATTGAATTACTTATTAAGAAGTATATTTTCATAAAATTATTACACAATATTATTGCTATCGAAGCTCTTCTCAAAGGCAAGTGCATTGCATTATTAATCATTATTATCTCTTGTTTATAGTTCATAATTTGTTCTATGTAGAGAATTTATTTGGAAAACCTGTCATTCATTAATTATACTATACAATACAAAATTTATCTTCCAACTTGTTATTTACTTTTGTAATACTCCCTTGAGCGTGTTTTTTGAACTAGCTTCAAAATAAATGCATCCGCCTTGACCACCAACACCACCATATTTGGGCAAACCATTTCCTCCAGTACCTCCACGTACATGAAGACGCAAAGAGTCGATTAATTTACTTTTCAAATACTGCCTAGCCTTAAAATGACAAAACTCAAATTAGTATTTTAAATAGTCTAAACACAGGCTCGTTAACAAATGTTTATTTTTATAGTCTCGATTGTAAAATCATTGACCAATAAAACTAAAGTATCTAACTAGATTGTTGTTAAAATATTTCTTAAATCAAAAATAGGTTTGATAACAGGTAGAATGAGTAATTAATATAGTTTTAACGTTACCTTCTTCTGAGGAAAACGTAAAGCCTGATATAATAAAACCATTATACAGTTTTCATAAAAAAATTCACTATACCATAAATGTTACATATATTTATATTTTTCACTATCAGACTACATAAACAAACATTTAAATTATTTTTGATAATCATTTGTATAATTCTTGCAACTTAATAGGTTAATTTTTCACGTTCATAAACAAGTTTTAGTTTAAGTTTTCATTTCCCACAATAGATGGCCATCGAGGAATAACAGACGCGCAAACCAATCGAGCTTTTGTAAAGTATTATGTCTCGTGTAAAGATGGAAAATGTGTTTTAGGATATATCAAACAAAATATTAAACGAAAATAATATGACGAAAGCAAGATAAATATATAACATAAAATAATATAAAGACTGCAATATATATACATATATTATCGTAGCACAACGTTAGAAAAAATTGTTTGATCATGGTTTTCCGGAAGATATATTTGTTTTCAAAACGTATTACCTGCGAGTCAGTTTCTTGCGAATATCCTTCGAAGTTCCTGTTGGTAATTTATTATTATTTTCTTTTAAACATTTTGAAATATCTAAAAACATACTATAAACTAGTGGCGTGTTGAAATCTGTTATATCGACTTTATTTTATCAGTTCATTACAAGGAAACTGCTTGATTGACATTTAGCAAACTTCATCAGTGTTATATGAAGTTGTTAGAGGCGCCAAATATAAAATTTGAACTAGTTGGTATTGGTATTTTGCCTTGAGGCAAGTTACATGAACTTCCCAATTTGTGGAAATAATCGACTTAATTCGAAATAGATAAATTCATTTATGAGTAGTTAAAAGTATTCGAAGTGGATTTATTACACATTATTGAAAATCGAACATGTCAACCCGGTCGGAGTATTTTTTAAAAGCAAATTTTCAAAAATCAATAATTTTTATTTTTTATAATTTTTTATAATTGAGCCAGTTTTTTATAGGACTTTAATTGTTTAGTATGTTCATTAGGATCAAGTACTCTATCGTTATACCAAGTAAATGAAATGAGTTAAATGTTTCATCATCTAATTTTAATTTTAACAAATGTCAAAGGACTACTCATTTTCTCAAACTTTGATGAATTTTTAAAATTAAACTACTTGTCATAAGACCGTAATATCTCAGTAAGTTCTGTAAGACCTTGACATATATCGCCAAAAAAAGTTCCACGAAAATCGGCAGATTTTTTTTTCAACAGTTAATTATAAGGAAACGGCTCAATAGATTTTCACCTAAAACTATTCAGTATCATTCCCGACTAAAAATTACAAAAAAACGGCTCGGCCGATCGTCGCACAAAACCGAAAAACGATAATCCTCATCGAGATACATCAAATGGTTTTTAAATTTCTGAAATCGGTTCAGGCATTTTTGAGCAAACGTCGATGAAAGTTCTAATTTTGACAAATGCCAAAAAAACGATATTCATTTTTGCAAACTTTGACGAATTTTTAAAGCTAAACGAGTTGTCGTAGGGCCGTAATATTTTAGTATGATCTAAAAGACTTTGGTATCTACCGTCAAAAAGTAATAATAAAAATCGACGAGAAAATTTTTTTTAACACCTTATTACAAGAAAACGGCCCGGCCGATCTCTACCAAAAACTAATCAGGTCGATTCCCAACCAATATCTTTCGAACGATTTTTGAATTTTCAAAATCGATTCAGAATTGCGGGCTAAAACGTGGATGAAAAATTGTTCACTTTTCTGCTATTTACGAAGAAACGGCTTGGCCGATCGTCGCACAAAACTAACAAACAATAGTCCTCATCGAGATACATCGAATGGCTTTTAAGTTTTTGAAATCAGTCCAGCCGTTTTTGAGAAATCTGTTGATGCACACGCACACACACACACATACACACACATACTTTTTTCAAATTTGGTCTCATTTGATTCAGAATGGCTTGAAACGTCGAGAAAACATAAAATTAGCGAATCGGATTTTTTGATGAAAACAAACTTTTCCTTCGGGAAGTTAAAAAAGAGATGAGTATATGAGCGTAAACGAAAATTTTACTTTTGTGCACTATTTCAATGAAGCAACTGATTTTATTCTACATTTTTTTCAAAAATTTAGTAACGCATTTAATGAAACTAATCGATTTAATGAAACTTGCGTTGTTTAGTTTATCTGTTTTTTATTTTCACTTCATTAAAATTTAAATTTTTTGGCAAACTTTATAAAAAATCTGTATTGAAAGCTATTAGAAAGATGTTAGTTGTAAATGTACTCATTTGTTATTGGCAGGCAAAGATCAGACTTTTTTTTTTGATAATTTGCTATAAAAGTACTATTTTTAAAGCTACAAAAACATTCGACAGGTTTCGATAAAGGTTGACGCTCTTATTTTATATGCAAATCACCCGAACCGTTCAATGTAATTAACAGTTTCAAACATAATTTCCGCCCAATCAATCAAAATCAATTTTCCAAAGTTTATTTGAAATATATTAGTTGCAAATTATATGATATTTCTAGTAAACATTTGTCAAACTGTTGCTTCGTAATTCAGTTCTGAATTTTTGTTACCATGATTTCCGAAAATTCTAATACTCGATATAAATTAACTCTAGATATAAATTAACTTCATATATTGTGTTAACAGCTATAATTTTTGTTTTATTACTCAAATTATTCTAGACAGACTTCAAAAATTCAAAAACTTTTTTCAATATATAAACTTGGATTCTTATTGTTACAATATCATAATGATCAACCTATGATTTCTATCTTAGAAGGTTCTCGTTTGATCTTACAATTAGTACATTTTTTTTGCATGATATCAGTGCGAAGGTCAGATAAACATTTTCTTTACAATTAAAACTAGAAAATTTAAGTTTAAACTTTTCCTAAAAACCGTAAACCATTTTAAGTTATTGTAAACTTGTTCACTATTTTTCAGCTCCAGTCTGAATATTTAAAAATCATTTGATTATCCGCGATCCTTTATTAGCGTATGTTTAAAATGGAAATTGTTAGATCAAATGTTAAAAATTAAGAAACTACTCGTAAAGGTGCGTCCACACCTAACGAACGAACACGAACGAACATGTCGAACAAGAAAATACAAAGAAGAACGAACAGGAACACGAACGAACGCGAATAATTTCAAACAAACGCCTCAAAGCAGTGAGGGCTTGAATCTTTTTGTTCGAGGATGTACCGTGAAACGTCAGATTTATTATTTAAAGTGGCGGGAAAAAGCAAAATTATTTAAAATCATCAAATTTACAAAATTTGTCAATAACAGCAATATCTTATAATAAACAACATAAATTAATGCATTAATGCACATTTTAACATGAAAAAAAAAATGTTTGTCAACATTCGTGGTAGCGTCCACACTGCACATACGAGTTCAAACATGAACGAACAATTCCCTTTGATGTACCGACAAGTTGCGGAACATTGCTCGCCATGTTTGTTTATGTTCATTCGTGATCGTTGTGGCGTCCACACTATGCTGTTGCCGTTCGTTCTGGTACGTTCATTTATGTTTGTTCATGTTCGTTCGTTAGGTGTGGACGCACCTTAACATTTCAATTCATGTTGATAAACTCGATTATTTTCGCTTAATATGCAACTTGTCTAAATCGCAAAATTCCACTTAATCTTTATTTACATTTTGCTAGTTTCTGTGAATTATATATTTCGGCGCTATATTTCATAATTTTCATAGTGATTATACATGTATTATAGTAGAAATTAGAGCTTTGTAAATTGAATAAAAAATTCCAAATTTTTGATACATTTTTCCGACAGCCAGATGTCAAGCAGTATAGTGGCATCGATTTTCACTTGGAAATGCAAATTGCATTATATTTACAAGTGAAAATAGCCTTATCCAGCATTACTGCTTTATTGAAAAAATCATAAGCATTACAAAAGTTGTTTTTCATTTTTTGAGATAGAGCCCTATTGTCCTTTATTTGATGTTTGGTTGAAATCGCTAATAGGTCTAACAATTTGAATGTAGTTTTTTCATGTTTTTAAAATCTGACAATACATTATTTATTTATATCCAGTAGAGTATTATATAAATACAATATATTTAGTTTGCTATTAAAATACAATTTAGTTTGCTATCAAAAACACATTTATTTCAAAATCACATAATTTGCTATTTTTAAATTATTTAAACTAATGAAATTAAAACAAAATGTGTGCCCAATATTCTATTTCTTCTTTCAACGTGTATGTGAAAAGACAAGATGGTGTTTTTATCATGGACTCATTCAAAGACCTAATAAACTTCACAAATATCTGAATATTGCAGTTTGCAAATTGCAATATTGCAAATTTGCAAATTCAAAACGGCATGCTAATTTGATCGGTAAATTATAAATTTATATCCGGAATTAATATATCTACTTTACATTTCAATTATATTTGATAATTGCATTGCATATTAGAACACACCTTGTAATATATATGTATAATTTAATTGTATATTAATATTTTTTAAACAACTATACACACAATTTAAGTAAATTTGAAAAGTGATCATAATTTCTAATTCTGATCACTCACGGGTAAAAATGGACTGGTATCAAAGTCTAAATTAATTCTATTGAAGACTTCTGCATATTCAAGATTGCTCGCCCGATAAACTATCGATTTAATACTTCAAAGCTACATCCACAAAAACATTGAAACATTAGGTTTCTTCTGAGTCAGTATATTTAAAATATAGATGCAATGTCATCAATTCACTTAAAATGTCTGTAAACTCGTTGCATTTTCGCGAATACATTCTGCAAGTTAGAATTTTTATCTCGTCGAAAAGAATTGTCATGTTGGAGCAAGGTGACGTTATCTTATAGAGCAGGTATGCTCACTAATTGTTCTCAAATTCTAATAAATCTAATCTAATATTCGTTCGCAATGTGTGAAGTAATCAATTTGTGCAATACTTTGAAAAACTAGTTATTTCCGTTATTAATCTTTATCTTATAATCACCTGGTTTAAAAATAATTCAACTTAAGGGTGCATTCTAGTGAAAAGAAATGAATTTTGTCATTTTTAAAACATCGCAAAAAAGGGAATATTTTTTTTACTATTATTTTTTTTATAATTTATTTATCAACGTTACAAGAGTACA